ACCTTGATGCATTGTGATCCTATTCCCATATACACTAGATAGGGGTGGGTACATACTTCCTCTTTTTTGTTAGATATATTTCATACACAAGTTTAAAAATACTAATAGTTCTTTTCAGCCAGATATTATATGGTGGTCCTGATGGTAAAATCCCTGGGCACCCCTCTGGGCCCTATCCACCGGCCCTTTCTATGCCTTGTGGGTTGTTGAAGCAACATTAACATTTCTTTTAATTTGATTTATATCAATGACTATACATTTGCCTATCATGTACAAGAAGGTCAGTAATGAATTAGATGCAAATATGGTACATATTTATTACAATATATTGATGTTAATGTATATTTTCTACATTACAGTACAATCTGAATGCATAGACCCCTGAGGAAGAAGGAGACTGAGAAACACATTGGGGGCTGTAGCTCTGTATTATCTATGCAGTTTGGTTATCTTCTGATTTACTGTGTAATTGGGTATATGTACAAATATTGTTAGAAGCCGCACTTTTGGATGTTCGTGGTTCTTTTTAACTGCATATTTTTAAACTTATGTACTGATAAAAATCTTTGAATTTTTATATTCATAAAAAATGCTTTTGTTATTGATTGATGCAGCCCTAAAAGTCCCATTTACTACAGGGTTCTTTCAGTTGTCTGTATTCAAAGAGTAGTGGTTAATGATTCATACTCTGAATGGTCTAGGGTCATCAGTGGTGTACCCCAAGGTTCAGTGTCGGGACCCTTACTTTTTAATATAGTTATAAACAATATAGGGTCTGGGATAATAAATCCCATTTCAGTCTTTGCAGATGACACCAAGCTGTGCCGAGGAATAACGTCCTTACAGGATGTCTCCAACTTACAAGCCGACCTCAATGCTCTGTGTAATTGGGGGACTATGGGACCAATGAGGTTTAATGTTGATAAATGTAAGGTTCTGTACTTGGGGGCTAAGAATATGCATTCATCATACATACTGGGGGGGGTCAATGGTGGAGAAGGATCTGGGGGGGGGTCAATGGTGGAAAAGGATCTGGGGGTTCTGGTAGATCACAAGCCTAATAATGGCAGCAATGCCAAGCTGCGGGTTCTAAAGCGAGCAAAATCCTCTGTATTAGGAGATGTATAGACTCCAGAGAGAGATATCATTTCCCCCACCCAGTACAAATCATTAGTAATACCTCATCTGGAATATGCAGTTCAGTTTTGGGCACCAATTCACAAAAAGAACATTGGGGAACTGGAGAAAGTACAGAGAAGGGCAACCAAACTGATACGAGGCATGGAGGAGATCAGCTATGAGGAAAGATTAGAGGAACTGAATTTATTCTCTCTTGAGAAGAGGAGATTAAGGGGGGATATGATCTCCATGTATAATACATAAGGGGGGATATGATCACCATGTATAATACATAAGAGGGGATATGATCTCCATGTATAATACATAAGGGGGGATATGATCTCCATGTATAATACATAAGGGGGGATATGATCTCCATGTATAATACATAAGGGGGGATATGATCACCATGTATAATACATAAGGGGGGATATGATCACCATGTATAATACATAAGGGGGGATATGATCACCATGTATAATACATAAGGGGGGATATGATCTCCATGTATAATACATAAGGGGGATATGATCACCATATATAATACATAAGGGGGGATATGATCAACATGTATAATACATAAGGGGGGATATGATCACCATGTATAATACATCAGGGGGGATACGATCTCCATGTATAATACATAGGGGGGATACGACCTCCATGTATAATACATAAGGGGGGATATGACCTTACCCCCTTCCTGCCCAGGCCAATTTTCAGCGCTAATTTTGAATGACAATTGTGCGGTCATGCAACACTGTACCCATATGAAATGTTTATCATTTTTTTTTCATACAAATGAAAAAGAGCAAAACATGTTGAAAAAAACTTGTTTCTTTTATAAAATTTTGCAAACAGGTAATTTTTCTCCTTCACTGATGTGCATTGATGAGGCTGCGCTGATAGTCAGCATTGATGGGCACTGATAGGTGGCACTGATAGGTAGCACTGATGAGGCGGCATTGATGAAGAGGCACTGATCGGTGGCATTGATGGGTATTGATAGGCACCACTGATGGGCGGCACTGCTGGACAGCACTGATGGGTGACATTTTTGGGCACTGCTGGGCAGCACTGATAATCAGGGCACTGATTATTAGTGCAGATCTCCCTTGTCACATTTGCCAGTTATCGGCAGTACTTTCCTCATTCTGTGAAGGCATGAGGAAAGTACAGTCAATAACTGGCAACTGTATTTACATTGTAATCTGCTGTGTCATTGGATACCGCTGATCACGTGGTAAAAGGCTGCTGTGATTGGCCTATTACCTTATCACCGACAGAGGTGGGGCGTGTCGCTGGGGGCGTGTTCTGGGAGGATGTCCGTGGATGCCCTCCCAGAACTAGACTACCGCACTGTAGCTGTCTTTTGGCTATAGAGTGGTTGGGAAGCAGTTACTCTCCAAATACAGAAAGGCTTTTTCACAGTAAGAGCTTTGAAAATGTGGAATAGACTCCCTCAAGAGTTGGTTCTGGCCAGCTCAGTAGATTGCTTTAAAAAAGGTCTGTATTCTTTCCTAGATACACAGAATATAACTGGATATAACATTTATAGGTAAAGTTGATCCAGGGAATATCTGATTGCCTCTTGGAGGATCAGGATGGAATTTTTTTTTCAACCTCTGGAGCAAATTGGATCGTGCTTTGCTGTTTTGTTTTTTTATTTGCCTTCCTATGGATCAATTGTGGTTATAGAATTATGTAAATAGGATTCTGTTCTTGGGATACACCATGCAATGCACCACTTAGGAAGAAACTTCACACCGGTCCTTTAACAGTTAATGTTATCTTTACTGAAGAAAGTCAAACTTACAGGAACAGTCTTGTAAAGCAGCTTCTGACATAAAATCCTGGATAGTTCTCTAAGTGCCCCAAAAAGTGAAGGCAATAAATCCACAAAGGCAGTGACAGTCCCTCTAGAGTCCATGATTTGCAGTTATTCATAAAGGAAATAAGTCCATAGCTGGTCCATAAGAGTCCTCAGGTTCACGGCCCCCCAGGGCACCCGGACTGCTCCCTGAGATAGGGGCACAGACTGTCACAGTGGAAGACTACATCTTGGCAGTATTTCCCCAGGCAGCTCTCCCAGGATACAGAGACCCTTTTTATGTGAATTAGTAAAAAACTGGTGGGGAACTCTAGCCAATCAATTCTTCAGATCCACCACACATCTACATTGTAACAGTTTCTTGGAGAAGACAGCAGACCTGACCCAGATAACTGAAGAGCATTGGCCAGCGCATAAAAGCATAAACCCTCCTGAAGGCACCTGCCTACATCATTTTCATGTCCTATGGGTTGGATAGCAGGAAGTAATGGAGGAGTTTTCTATAGGAGTTTTCAGTCCATCCTGAATACGGCTGCCAAACTCATTCACCTTTCCAACCGCTCCATCTCCGCCACCCCCCTCTGCCAATCCCTCCACTGGCTTCCGATTGCGCAACGGATCAAATTCAAAATCCTAACACTGACGTACAAAGCTGTCCACCATACTGCCCCGAACTACATCACTGACCTAATATCCAAGTACCACCCAACACGCACACTCCGCTCCTCATAAGATCTCCTTCTCTATAGTTCCCTGGTCTCCTCCTCCCATGCCCGCCTCCAGGACTTCTCCAGGGTGTCACCAATCCTCTGGAACTCCCTGCCCTAACCCATCAGATTATCACCTACTCTCCTCTCCTTTAGGCGCACCCTGAAAACCCATCTCTTCAGGGAAGCCTACCCCACCCCCTGCTAACTTTCCAACCTCCTCCACTCTTCCTACCACTCCATCCCCCACAGCTATCTCCTCCTGTGCCACCATCCCCTCCCTGCTAGATTGTAAGCTCTGAGGAGATGGGCCCTCGATCCCCTCGTGTTTTGCATTGTATTGGTATTGTTCTGTCACATGTTCTGTCCCCCTCTGTAATGTACAGCGCTGAGCGAACTATCGGCGCTTTATATAAATACTATATAATAATAATAATAGGAGACACTGGAGGCTCAGGTATTGCCTGCTCCGGGACATAAAGAACTCTTTTTCTTTTATGCAACAGAGGTACATTTGGGGTACATTGTTACATAGAGGAGCTAGAATTTAGAAAAGAAAAAAGTGAACTTAGCCATTAAATGCAGAGACACAAGCCTCAGGTGAATTTCTTAACGAAAAAAAAAAACAGCCCCTTGGGCTTTATGCCCAACTCTGGACTGCTGCTAAATGTATCCATGAAGTGGGATCCCCTCTGTAGTGCCATGCTTAACACTAGTTTGGCTAGAGAGGAAAGGAATAAATAGAAAATCTGACCCTCCTCCATTCCCCCAAACTGGCACTCTCCTCCTCTGTCTGGGCCCCCGCTGTCCTCCTGTACAATGCAGGTCCAGGTGCAAGGTAGGTGATGACCTTAGGGAGCTGCAACTGGCTGATCAGCAATGAGAATGGATTTCATGGAGAAAAGGAAGCCTTTGGGAGCCAGTCAAGTATTTACACCATGCAGTGCAGAAGGGGCACTAGATAGGAAAATTTGACAGTGACCTGGAGTTGGGTTTTAAAGTGATTTAAAAAGGTTCCATTTTTTTAAATAATAAACAGTTTATACTTACTTGCTCTGTAATGGTTTTGCACAGAGCAGCCCCGATACTCCTCTTCTAGTGTACCCTGCCAACACTCTTGGCTCCTCCCCCTTACTGAGTGCCCCCAAAGAAAGCCACTTGTTATATGGGGGCACTTGTGTGTGCTCATTTCTGAGCCAGCTCTGAGTGTCCATTGACACACAAAGTGCTGCTCCTCACTGGCCGTGATTGACAACAGCAGAGCCAATGGCCCCTGTTGCTGTCTCTGAGCCAATGAGGAGAGAGACACTGCTCTAGTGCACAGTGCAGGATGGAGATTGGGCTCAGGTAAGTGTTTAGGTGGGACGGGGGGACTGCATGCAGAAGGTTTTTTTACCTTAATGCATAGATTGCATTAAGATGAAAAAACCTTTGGCCTTTAGAACCACTTTAAGTAAGTTAAAACTGCCCAGTGACCAGGGGCGGACTGACCATTTGGAAACTCGGGCACTGCCCAAGGGCCTGGGGTCAGTAAGGGGCCCCATGAGATGCCCCTGGTACCTTTTTCATAGGCTTTTTTGAGTTTGGGCAAGGACACACGGGCCCCATAATCCCCTATTGCCCGGGGGCCCCATGAGTTGTCAGTCCGCCCCTGCCAGTGACACCACAGTTTGGCAGCAAAATGCAGAGAGAGAAGTCACAGTGAGGAGTAGGGATGAACTTAGGTATGGTCAGATCATGTCTGAACCCACCTGAGCTATCCTGCAGAAACCTTGTAAACATAGAACTCTGTGTGTGATTGGACACAGTCCAGCAGCTGATTTCAGCCAAAATCATTGGCTGAAATCAGCTGCCGAAACACACGCTGTGTCTAAACCCAGGAAAAGCCTGATCATGTACATGTATGTGGTTGTGACTGTATCTGCCACCCACTTGTAGTATATTCGCTGTGAGCAATCAGCAGGTGTTTGGTTTATTTCAGGGGTGTCCAAACTATGGCCCTCCAGGTGATGAGGAACTGCAAGTCCCATGAGGCCTTGCAAGACTTTGACATCCACAGGCAAGACACCCAGAGGCAGAGGTATTATGGGACTTGTAGTACTTTAACAGCTGGAGGGCCATAGTTTGGACACCCCTGGTTTATTTAATCAAAGAAACTGATTTATTGAGCCACCTTCATAGAGTACAAAGACTCACTGCATGTTGCCAACATACAGAAAATCAAATAAAGTTGCCATTAGATACAAAATGAAGGGTTGACAGCGATACATTTCACAGTTGAATGAATAGACTAGCAGTACAACTGCAAGGTGAACATAAAGATGACCCTCAAAAGACAATGGTAACATCACAAAGTGCATAGTAATAGCTTAGAAAAATCGCTGGTCACAGCCCTGCAACAAAAAAGTATAACCAGGACATTTATCCACAGCTGGATTCCCAATAAATGATGTATACTAGTAGATTCACTTCTCGGCCTGCTGTATCCAAAATAAAAAAATGTAAGTAAGAATATAAGGGGAACATATTACTTCTTATACCTGTAATATTCGTCCCATGACTGATTGATAGTCCAGGAGTCTCAAGCCATGCCTGCCATAAAGATTAAACCTTACACTGTGCATTTCTGTGTTGGTAAGTGAGCTTTTCCCAGATCAGAATAGAGTCAACCTGATTGGTCCAGTGTTTCATGGTAGGGACATGGGGAGACTTCTAAAATCTGGCAACTTACTTTCGGGCCACATATAATAATCAGATAACAGCTATATGTTGTGGAGAAGTCAGCAAGGGGTAAAGAAAATGTTACATTGAAATATGAAATCTATTTGCAGATCATTATGAATGCATTCCTTATTGAAAGTTTTCCATCAAAGACAAAAAAAAAAGAAATTCAGAGAGAAAAGCAATAAAAGTCCCAATAGAAAGTTTTGTGGAAAGGATGAGTTCCACAATGAGATGTAGATCCTGGAGGACGGTGTGTGCGGTACACATGGAGGACGGTGTGTGCGGTACACATGGGGACGGTGAGTGCGGTACACATGGAGGACGGTGTTGTGTGCGGTGCGGTACACGCGGAGGACGGTGTGTGTGCGGTACACACGACGGTGAGGACGGTGTGTGCGGTACACACGGAGGACGGTGGTGCGGTGTGTGTGTGCGGTACACATGGAGGACGGTGTGAGTGCGGTACACACGGAGGACGGTGTGTGCGGTACACACGGAGGACGGTGTGTGCGGTACACACACGGAGGACGGTGTGTGCGGTACACATGGATGGAGACATTCAATCTCTACTGACTTCTACTAGAAGGAGATACAAACCCAGCCAGGAGGAGAACAGGAATTCTGGGGTCATGGAATCACAGTCTAGTATGGTCACCCATGACATCCCGGAGAGTCAGTGAAATGGAGTGTGATAAGTAGGTGCCCAGCATTGGAAAGAACAGGAGATGTAGAGAAACGTACGACCGATTCATATTTCCCCGAGGTGAGCCGATGAGGAGCGTCAGGATACAACACTAAGGAAAGGAGAACATAGAATGCACTGCTTGGGACCTTTCCAGTCTTTCACTGGTGGTGAATCAGTCATTGTTATTTAAAACCCTGGCAACCTGGAGTTTCACCTGCAGTGGATGTTTGGTGGAATGTAACAATCACAGATTTATAATCATGGCCTTACATTAGACCGGAATTATTTACTTCTACACTGTGAATACCCTTTATTGTGACCTGAACAGTAGACCATCATACACACAAGCTATTGAATGATAGCATATCTCCCCCCCCCCTCCTGTCAGAGATGAGACCATCTGGATGTTCAATCTGCAAGAGCCGTACATGACATGACTATCAGAGACCCCATGAAGGCCTGAAGACCAAGTATGATGGAAGCCCCGTGTATTACATGTATTGTTAGTGCAGCAAAGCCTGGAATCTAATAATGAGGATCAAGAAATACATTATTATTACATTATATACATTTGTACATTTCCATCAAATATTACAGGGAGAGGGAAGAGTTAGATTTGTTCTTTGTTGAGTTATACAGAGGAGAGCAAAGATGAGAAAAAGAGACTTACCATTCACACATGTCATTGAATCCATTCAATTTGTGGAAAAAAAACATTTTATCTGTAACATCTAATATATATTTGACAAAACGGTGAGCAGAGATCAGTCCTCCGATAATGACATCTCCCTCCTTGTAATATTCATACTCAAACAATGTTACATTTTGCATTTTAAGTCTACAAGCAGATGCTGAGCTCCGGGTCAATACGACCCCATAGTATGTGATGGGGAAGGATGAGGATCAGCAGGTAACAGACACAGAAGAGCGGAGAACATCTCATGTCACACAGCAGATCCTCTCAGTCACCGGCAGATCTGCCCAGGAGGAGACACAATCACCAGAACTTTATACACATCGACTGAGACCGATTTACACTACAGAACAAAGAATGGAAGAATAGAAACATCGACTGAGACCGATTTACACTACAGAACAAAGAATGGAAGAATAGAAACATCGACTGAGACCGATTTACACTACAGAACAAAGAATGGAAGAATAGAAACATCGACTGAGACCGATTTACACTACAGAACAAAGAACGGAAGAATAGAAACATCGACTGAGACCGATTTACACTACAGAACAAAGAACGGAAGAATAGAAACATCGACTGAGACCGATTTACACTACAGAACAAAGAACTGAAGAATAGAAACTTCAGTCTGAAAATATGAAATCTATATCAGAAAGTGTAACTGATCTAAGAAAAGTTGGTTTATTCTTATATTTCATATTTAGTACACTCTCGGTAGTTAGTTATAATTATTAATTTCCAAGATATACTTCCCTGAAGATTAGATTTTTTTCTGTAACATCTTTTTACATCACAGAGCTAAAAGTGAGAATCCAATAGAGGTGAATGAGCCACAATGATTTGTAGGGCTCTGCCGGGGAAAATCCACAACAAAAAATGAATTAAACATCTGTATTTGTAGAGAATTACTGAACCCCATTGTACAGGATTGGAGGATCATTTCTGCAATCTTTCTAGATGTTTAAGCAATCACATACTGGAGACTTTTACCTCTTCCTGCCCAGGCCAATTTTCAGTTTTCAACGCTCTCATACTGTACTTTGAGTGAAAATGACGCCGTCATGCAACGCTGAACCCAAATTAATTTTTTATCATTATTTTCACATATATAGAGCTATCTTTCAGTGGTATTTAATTATTGCTGTTTTTTAAAATTTTGGGTAAATGAACGAAAATAGACCAAAACTTTGGGGGAAAAAAAAAAAAAAAAGCTTTTTTCTTCATTTCTGATAAATCATCTTTCTTTATTAATTTAGGCCAAAATGTACATGTCTTTGGTGAAAAAGTCCACAAACCATAAAGTCCATAACATTTTTTATATATCTGAAAATTGATCATTCCTGATGTACTGACAGCCTATCTCATTTCTTGAGTCCCGGAAACACCAAATGACCCCTTTTTGGAAAGTAGACAATCTGAGTTATTTAGTAAGAGGCATACCTAATTTTTTGAAGTTGTATTTTTTTTTGTCACAATTTTTTTGAATACGAAGACATTTAAAAAAAATGTTTTTTTTCCACAATTTTTAAAAATGTTTTACATATTGTCACCAGGGCAATACAGCATAATCATATAACTGATCTGACGGTGATCGGGGACACTGACTGATGACATCATGCACAAAAAAGTATATTTTTTTAATATGTATTTATTCTTTTTTATAAAGTTTTTATTAAGTACTGTGACCAGGGTAATACAGTGTTACCATAGTAACATTGTACTACTCTGAGGATGTGATCAGGATTTTTGTACACACTGTGATTGGTTATAACTGAATTTTTCAGTTGTAAGTAACAATTTTTTCTAAATGAAAACTCTTCATTTGGTTTTTACTATTGTGATTAGATGATCTGTGATTGGGTTTGTCTGTACCATGTGATCATTGTGACCAATTACAAAGATCACCACGACAGTACACAATGAAAGGCATACATCAAAGCCTTTCATTGTGTACAATTGCCATGTGATATGCTGTGATTGGCCACAGCTAGTACCAGCTGCGAGCCGGTACAGTGAGCCGTCATCAGTGGTGTCCAGTGGACGCAAGAGGTGATAGATCATGCTGAAGTATGGCCCATGGGGTGCACGTATGACATGATCCTGGGAGGACATTATATTATCCTCCCAAGATAATAGGGCTCCTGCCTGGCTGTCATTTTATTATCAATATTATTATTATATAGTGCCAGCAGTTTGTGAAGTGCTTTACAATATAAGGGGGGCAGTACAATTACAATACATTTAAAAAAAAGAAGGAATAGGAAGGCCTTGCTCATGTAGCTTAAAATCTAAAGGAAGGGGGAGATGGTACAAAACAATGATGGGGCATTATTCCTCCCACTAATGCCAAAATGGGGCACTATTCCTCCCACGGACACCAATGATGAGGCACTATTCCTCCCACGGACACCAATGATGGGGCACTATTCCTCCCACGGACTCCAATCATGGGGCACTATTCCTCCCACTGACACCAATTATGGGGCACTATTCCTCCCACTGACACCAATGATGGGGCACTATTCCTCCCACGGACACCAATGATGGGGCACTATTCCTCCCACGGAGACCAATGATGGGGCACTATTCCTCCCACGGAGACCAATGATGGGGCACTATTCCTCCCACGGACACCAATGATGGGGCACTATTCCTCCCACGGACACCAATGATGGGCACTATTCCTCCCACGGACACCAATGATGGGACACTATCTCCCCCCTCACTGACACCAATGATGGCGCACTATTCCTCCCACGGACACCAATGATGGGACACTATTCCTCCCACGGACACCAATGATGGGGCACTATTCCTCCCACTGACACCAATGATGGGGCACTATTTCTCCCACGGACACCAATGATGGGGCACTATTCCTCCCACAGACACCAATGATGGGGCACTATTTCTCCCACGGACACCAATGATGGGGCACTATTCCTCCCACGGACACCAATGATGGGGCACTATTCCTCCCACGGACACCAATGATGGGGGACTATTCCTCCCACTGACACCAATGATGGGGCG